AGTTAATATTGTGATCGCATAAACTCGTATGTAGATACAATGCATTAGACGTTTGGGCAGTTCTAATACTATAAGCATGTTGTGACAACCGCAATTGTAAGGACTTTCCTGTTTGTCCAAGGTACACAGAATCACAATCATTGCAGGGAATCGAATACACACAACCTGCTGTATCAGGGGAGTTTTTTATTAAATTGGATTTGATCGTACTATTAGTGAACACCAAATTTATATTAAGTTTCTTAAAAATCAGTTCACCTCATTTCATATTTCTCTGTAGATTTTCCATATATATATATATATATATATATATATATATATATATATATATATATATATATATATATATACATACATACATATATATAATATTAGTCGTCTACAACTTTTTCCTCCTCTGCCATAACTTTCCCCCGACGCATCAAACCCAGTGCTCGAAACTTTCGCCTTCTTGTTTCTCGCTTAAACAATAACAATAATCTTTCCAGTTACAAACAAAAAAGGAAAAAAGTCGTCCTCCTCTTACCACACAGGAAATCTCTGTTTCTACTCCACCAGGAAAACGTTTTTACTAAATCTCACCAACACACGCTCTGGAAATAAATATTTTTTGTATCTATTTTCTCGATTTTTATTTTGAAAACTGTGTTTTTCAAGAGAAGAGCAGCTCGAAGCCAGTTTGTATGCAAGATATCGGGGTATAGTTATGTTATTTAGAGGATACAATATTAAAAAAAACGAAATCTAATAACAATTCGGAATTGGAACTAATGGTATTGTAGTTAAGACGTGTTCAGAAGCCTCTTTACCTTTGGGATATAACCGTCCAGCTCCTCTATTGGTTATAAATCGGTCTAAGACCTGTGAGTCTTTGCCCATGGGTTCAGAGAGCGATATTGCATCACTTATTGAGCTAAACATCTTGCAATAATGTTTAATGAACAAGCAGTCGACATTATTATTATCGTTCAATCAACGTTGTTTGGCAAGATTTGGACGGGGGGGGGGGGGGTCATTTCATACCAGTTATGCCAGTTGCTGTAAGGCTTCTGTGCTGGCTAGGGTTCGAATCTCCTGGTGGGAAAGTGTTCTAAGGTTGTATAACTTCTCTTGCGTGTTTAGGCAAGTTGTGCCTTATATATATATATATATATATATATATATATATATATATATATATATATATATATATATATATATATATATATATATATATATATATATATATATATATATATATACATAAATACACACTGCACCAAAGAAGTCACTGATGCTGTCCCTCCGGGGAATAAAATATCTGCAAAAAAATACTGTGTGAATAAATAAATATGAATATACATGCACTTGTAATTATCATTTCCCCATTTCCCACCTTAATTCTTTCATGGGGGTGTGGAGACAATGTCTCTTTCCCACCAGAGAAGAATGGTGATAGATGTAAGGGTTAGATCAATGTCATCCACAGTACTGTGTAGCTGATCGATGTGTAGTTACTACATACTCTTTCACAGGTACAGCCATAATGCAGCGAGAGTGCATAAACACGCTATCTTTGTATTATTGAGTGTGGCTCGTGCATTAGCTTCGGCGGCTCTTGTTGATGTGCATAAGCTCTATAGTACGAGGATTATCATTTTAGGTCATGAGATCCATCAACTGGGGGTGAGGGGAAGGGGGGCTGCCCAGTGTTGATGGATGGCTCTTTCCTGTCCAAAGTTTAAACTGGAAGGTGGTCTTTGCACTGACGTGTAAATAGATTGTCATTGACCTTCCCTGTAATTCAATGACTGCTGCCCCATTGAATGCTTGCCCTTGTTCCTGTTCTTAACTCACTGTGGAGGGCATACTTCCACCAGCCACTGATCACACAACTTTTCAGTTTCGACTGCGTCATCCTCTGATCACTCTGGGGAGCATCTGCTCTCCACGTTTCATGTCATCAAATGTGACCAGTTCGCCATCAATTATGCCTTCCCTCGCTGCTTGTAATAACGTGATTGTGCGCACCCCTTTCCTGCTTGTAAGAAGTCATGATGTCGTACTCCCACTCGACCCCCGTACTAGTACCTTGAATGAATCCACATTAAAAAAATTTGACATCTATGTGAGCTAAATACCCTAAGCCTAATTACTCGGACAGCAATACCGATACTGATCTGAAGATCCATATCACTTGCCATCGTCTCTGGGCACCAATATTACCCCTGTATCCCCTATTGGTCTGACACACGCTTTATCGAAATCCAGTCACAAGTACTGGCCGACTGCCTTTCTCTGCTGCTTCACATTGATTAGGTTATGTTAGCGATTACCAAAAATGTATGGGTGTATTCTTGCATTAAAACTGTCATTATGCTGCCCTATATTTCAGGGAGAGGCCCTTATTTTAGCATAGAAATACACTTTACAACCAGTACACACCGTTTTTTTTAGAATCAACTGTTATTTGTTATAATATTGGATATTTCTTTATTTTGTTATTCATTGTTATAATAATAGATATTTCTTTATTTTATGTTATTCGTTGTATATTGTATTATGAACAAAGGCCACCATACGTCATTCAGTAAAGGAGACGATGTCAACGCCATCTGTTGACCGCACCCGACTCTATTGTTATGTTCCCCGGTAGAAGGCTGCGATGGTTGTTACACCTGTGTAGTTTCCTTATTACTATACAATTTTTACTCCTCATACGTGATGTGGGAGGTACCTTGGTCAGGCGTCAGTTTACCCGGAGTGACCAACACAGGCGGTCTTGAACGTAAGACGTGTTTCAGTGGGGTGGGATAGTGAATTGTCTGTGATAACTAGTGAGGTAATGGTAAATGGACCGACGTATCTCGGGATGGTCCAATTGAGTTACGTGATGGAATTAGCGTCCGTCTGTTCTCTAAGTTAAGGCTTGATAAGGACAATTGGGCAATTATGATTCAATCAGTGCTGACTGGGAAAGGCCAAACTGCGTACTCAATACCTTCAGTAAGTGACTCAAGTGACTATGACGCTGTCAAGAAGTTGATGAAAACTTAAGAGTTGGTTCCTGAGGCATATCGGCAGACCTTAAGTGTCTGCATTTCGAGACCAAAAGCTAAAATGACCAAAATGCCATAAGAAGCATTTCGTGACCTTAAGACAACGGACAACCACAGAGCAAACTTTTAAGAAGTTTGCTTGCATTAAGGAACGGTTAGCTTAAGAATGGTTGTGTGAGTGTGCGTGTTTTTCGGAAGGTTGAAACTAAGGAGCTGCTGGAACAACTTATCCTGTTTGAAGATTTAAAGAAGTGTTTATCTGGTGATCTGAAAACGTACTTGGAGGAACAAGAAGTACACACATTCGGTGCTGCGGTCACCATGGCTGAATAATACATTTTAACCCATAGGCCCTCTATAAGATATGTTTCAAAGCCCTACTCAAAAACCTTTTACCAAGTGTAAGTAGGAGGAATGAACCATCCCCCATTGTGCCATGAAAGAAAACCCGGTAATCAAAGAACAAGCCCTAGGAGTGATAGTGTGTTAGACATGTTCGAAGACGCTTAGCAGTGTCTGCTAAGTATAAGAACAGGGCAGATAACGACCCGCATAGGGAGATTATGCTGGCGAGTTGACACCACCAGGGGGGAAACCCGCTCCCTATGGTCAGGTAGGAGGGAGACGCCAGGATTGTTTGCCCCATACACTTCGACAGGGTATGTACCGAGTGACCAGTGTGGCAGGTCAGTAGTAATTCTCAGAAGTGGAGCAGCCCAATCTCTGATTTTAAAGAGCTCGTTTCCCAAGGAAGTGCCAACTGAAGTGTCAATTTAGGTGAATTTTCCTCCACTTTGTATGTTCTCTCATAGTAGAGGTTTACTTGGAATCGCCATATTTTAAAGGCAGGTGAACATTGGAAGTAGTAGACCATCTTCCTGTAGAAGGGAATACTGGCCAATGACTTGGCTTTGGACAGTAACCATCCCATGCTTGTTGAGACCCCTGTAAAAGATATGGTAAGGGCAGTAATAGCAGTCAAAAACCAGATCATAGGTGAAAGCGCAGTTAGAATTAGATGCTCTGTTTAACTCTACACCTACCCAACAGGTCGCCGACAGTACTCAATCTCCATTCTCCTCTAGAACCGAAGCACTGAATAACTCACTTTAATTGCGGAGCAGAAGAAACACCCTAGGCGAAAGCTCTCGTAGACACCATTGATTCAGGATCGGAGACAGGTGATCAGTACTTCTGGCAGGATAAGGTACTGTTTCGGAAGTATCGACCAAGAACACCCAGACTCCAGAGGTAGGTACACAGGTAGTCGTGCCCTCAGTGTTGAGGACCAAACTGTTGGAAAGAGCTCTTGATGTTTTATTTTCCGGACATTGCAGGATTACGAAAGTTGTTCATCGCCTAGCCAGATGTGTGTCATGTCTTCTGTACTTGCCTCCTCTTTGCCATAAGATCAGTACCGAAGGATTCTCTGGGCCCATCTCCATTCGAGATGGTGTATAGTCACACGGTGAGAGGACCATTGGAGGTGATCAAGGACCAGTGGGTGTACAAAGAGAACATGGATGTGCTGGACTGGTTATCTACGCACAAAGACATGTTGATTGCTGCATGGGAACAAGCCAAGGAGAACCTGCTACATTCTCGGGTAATTGCAAAGAAGATATAAGACAACAAAATTACTCGGGGAATTTCAGGTAGGAGACCTAGTACTAGTATGTTCTTCAATGCTAAAAGAAAGTTTGAGTACCAAATTTACTAGTTCTTACCCATGTTCTCAAGAACGTTAATGCTACTAACTATATCCTTAGCACTCAAGACTGGAAAAAGCCGCAGCTGTTGGTACACGTGAACATGAAGTTGTATCAAGGCCGGGACATCTTCCCAGTGACGATGGTGGTCTCAAGAGACTAAGCCAAAGAGGTGATGGGGGACGTTGGTAAGCAAGTAGCATCGAATTCAGAGATTCTGCTGAATCTACTTACCAAGGTGACAAACGTACCCGAGAAGCAAGAGAGATCCGTAATAGATAATTATGCAATACAAGTATTTTCAGAGATACTCCAGGTCTGACATCCGTCTTGAAGCATGACGTTATCCTTGAGGAGGGCGTGAGGTCGATAAAGCAACATCCCTACCGACTTAATCCCCTGTAAGGTGGTGGTAAGACGTGACATGGACTACATGATCCAACATAATCTGATCGCCGCAAGTATTAGTCCGTGGTTGTCCCCTGTTTTATTAGCACCACAAGCCTGGTAATGAGCATAGGTTATGCATAGAAGTGTGTATTGATACCGTCGGTATCAATACTCTCTGTACAATTGCCTAACGAAGTTTGACCTCATGGGTTATTGGCAGGTACTTCTGACAGAGCGTGATTGCTTTTGTGACTCCTGGTGGTCTTTTTGTGTCAAGTTATGCCATTTGGTATATAAAATGCCGCCTCTACATTTCAGCGATTGATGACTAGTATACTACGCGACGTAGAGAATGCCGTGGTCTACATTGATGACGTGTTGATTTACGACTCCAACTGGGAAGACCATTTGCGGAATATAGAAGCATTCTTATCGGCTATTCAACAAGCTCGGTTGGTAGTCAACGTGCATAAATCGTTATTTAAGATATCTGTAATATTTTTTAGGACATGTGGTTGATGGAAGATGGATCTTCCCCGAAGAACAACGCAAAAGCAATCGTTCAGTACCCGACCTCTTCAACACGTAAGGTGGTCCTGCGTTTCCTGGGTATGGCCGGATTCTACCGTAAGTTTGTTCCTGACTTCTCTACTATAGCAGTGACTTTGACAAATCTGAAGAAGGGAGTAAAGTTCACGTAACTAGTGTCGGCTCGCCTTTGATCCTAAAAGCCATACTATAAACTAAAGTGCCGTACTAAAAGCCGTATCTCTATAGCAAAACCTGGTAATCTGAATTTGTTAAAAAATCTTTTAACTCAAATTAATTTGGGTTACTCAAAGATTCAGATTTATCAGAATTCTTATTTGAGTTTTTATAGTACAGTACTTGGATAAGGTAGAATTGTAAAACATTTATGAAATACAGGTTAGTCAGATCTCATAAAAAATGTCACGTAATGAATCTGGGAATAATCTCGGATGACCTAATGATTATTAAGCATAACTTTGCAAAGCATAACATTGCAAACATAGCATCAGCCAGAAAATTGTAAGGTGGATTGTGAAACCTTCAAATTCAGGGATTCCACCACAATGCCTCTATTCTTCAAATGACTTGTGCTGTTCTACTTCTGCTGAGTACTGCTCAGTACTCGCTTTCAAAACATTAGATAAAATAGCGGGAATTCAGAGAACATGTACAGTACGCATAGACATAATAGGACTGTCTCAAAGCATTCAAAATACTTTCAGAAATAATACAAGATGGGTATCATATAGTATATACATGGAAGGTAATGGAAGACCAGGTCTCAAACATACAAAACAAAATATAAACTTAATGGAATGAGAGAGATGGTAGAAAAAGCACAATCATAGAACACTGTGTGAACATCAGAGGTCCCTGGCTCATCAACCTTCTCCCACCCACCAAATAGAGGAATCTCAATTCAACTAATCTCCAGTTGGAGAACACTTTTCATGCCAGATTTACTTGCCTGATTCGACGAGCAAGAGTTCGCTGAAACTGGGGATGTGGGGGATTTTATCAATTTGTTGGGACTGAGTTCATAGTGAGGCAACATTATATGAAATAGTTAGACCTTGGAAAAGCCACCGAGCATATTTAAAACCAATTTTTTTTTTCTCTCAAGTTGCAGAGGTTTTGGTTCAGTAAAATTTGGACCCTTTTTTTTTTCCTTTGAAAAATTGATTTTGAGGCTAAGGTATGGGAGGTATGGTGACTCATTGTGGCTCCAGTCGCATTTTTAATGATTTTCGTAGATGGACGCAACAATAGAAAGGTTAGGGGGCCTTGAGAAAGCCATTCAGCACATTTAAAACCTATTATATTTTTCATTTTGAGATTTCCAGGTTTTCATTCACAAATATGGACCTGTTTTCCTCTGAAAAAAGGCTTTTGAGGCCAGAGTGTGGGGAAATATACCAATGTGATTAAATACGTTAGGAGATAGGTTCTCTTTGTAGGTGTCCTTCATATGACTGGTTTAAATTACAATTTTGCCCAAAGAAATCGGCTATAGAGCGTGTGAAATATTAGGGTATGAATGTAAATACCCTATACACAGTAGAAAGTATTACGGTATGAATATACTTTGTTAATGTGGCTTTTTCGGAAAGCCACATTATAAAGTACTTGTGTATTCAGCGCACCAAAATTAAAATACATTGTGATTTAATCTTGTAACGTGTTGAACTGTTGCAGAAGGGAACGAGGCCGAACGCTTGTTGTAGTTTGGCCCAGAACTGCACGTCTGGTGGCGGGATATGAGCCAATCAGAGTCGCCGACCGAGAAACCAAGCGCACCGATCAATTTGGGCAGTCAGTACTCCACTCCGTCCAGTGACAGAAGCATAAGGAACTAGGCTTGTGGTCCATTTATACAAAAGGCCGAGAAAGTGCTCCACCCCGACAAGCAGTGTGTTGGCTCGGCGTTTGAGGGAGGTATGTGGAAATTTTCTACCTTGGTATAGTACAGAAATGTAAAGTGCTTTAAGTCTTTATTCAACCTGTCCTCGACTCAAGTCCATTACATCTAGCGGTCGACCCCACAGACGCCTTCATAAAGTTTAACATGCTGTTCATTCAAAACAGGAATTTTCTCAGATATAAATTATTATAATAGCATATTGTGCATTTATAGACATAGGTTAGGTGTTTAGGTTCTGTTGGCGATTATTTGTATTTGTAGTACGTGGGTGAAGTATTTATAACGTTGTGGTTCGAACAAAATTAGTGAAGCACTTATTCCGGAGGTGTTCCAACGAAATCAATTGGGTCGTGTAAACCGTTTTTCCTTCATAAACAGGAGGTTTGGTGGGTGCACGGAATCACTTTTGGGTCTTCGTTTGGAAGACGGGCTGCTTTATTGGGACTGACTGGTGACTGCAGTGGATTGACATGTATATATATATTGTACATAAAACTGAAAATATTTATTTACATTTTAGAGAATACAGACGAGGTATTGTCTTCATTTTTACCCCAAGACTTGCAGATCTTGATAGTCGTGGCCCAGCCTGAATGTGTGGGGCACATGACGGAAGGGGCCTGGCTTGGGGAAGGGGGGGGGGGGGGGGGGGGTGGAGAACTGTTCCTGACCAGTACATGTGACATAAGAGAACTCGGTAGGTTTTCAGCGCTATTCCTTCCAGTACCCATGTTGGGGCTGCGCCACAGCAGGGTGGTTATATCCCAAGTCTCCAATCACATTTTTAAAGATTTTCGTAAAAAGAACACAACATTAAGAGTCGAGGCCTTGAGACAGCCACTGAGCACATTTAAAACCAAATTCTATGGTTCCTTTTAATTTTAAGATTGCCGGTTTTCGTTCACAAATATGTGCCTCGTGGAGGCATCTCCTATTGCAACGAGCCCTTCATATTGCAGCGAATTTAGATTGGTCCCATATACCAATTTAGATTTTAGATTGGATTGAACCAATTTAGATTGGTCCCATATGGTTCATTTAATTCGGGTTGCACTGTACAAGTCTGTGGACCACTTCAAACAGCCTTTTAGATCAAAGTATAAGACGATCCTCCCTAAGGCTGATGTTTAAGAGTAGAAAAGATCTTGAAGTTTACCTGTAATCGGTTACAAGTACTGTACATAGGTATGAGAGATTTTCCCACATACAACTCCAAACAAACAATGCACACACAGGGCATCAACCAGGTTTAACCCTGTAATTCAAAGTATATTGGAAAAAAGGCCTTTCATACAAGACCAGAGTGAATGTGAAAGTCTAGGCCTCTAGCCTAGAGCTCACATCCGCAGGTACTGCCTCTGCTAGTTCAGCATCAGACTAGAGCCAGGAATCTGAACCTAAGCTACTCTTAGCATGGTAACAGCCATCCCCAAAGACACAATAGTCACGCTGCACATGTAGTACCCACCAAAGGCAGTGAGTAGTGTGCTGCAGTGATTGATGTACAGTGCAGTTAAAATAGGATGTGAGCCACAGTGACAGTTTTCTATCTTTAACAGTAGGGCGACTGATAGATGAAAGGATGAGCGGTCAATGTTGACGAGGAAGGTATGATACGAGCGGACCTGCAGATTAATTCAACAGAGAAGAATTAAATGCCAGTCAAAGAATAGATATTCAATGGACTTGGTAAGTATGGTCCTACTTTTTCATCAGAGGGAGCAAACACATTGGAGAAAGCCAACTGATTGAGGGCAAAGTTCTCAATCGGGGTATTTTCCCTGTAGTATTGATAGTAAGCCTCATTTGTCTAGGAATTGCAAATTTACTTAATGCAATCACTAGTTTCGTTGCACGTGTGTTATTGTTTGAATTTTCCGTTTCTCAGGTTGGCCTTATGTGAGGCAGATTCTGGCTCTTGCAGTAGATTATAAATGAGTCTTAAGAGGCCTGGTGCATTGCGGTAAGTTTGTGAATATATGTGAATAGTTGTGTAACCATTTAAGGTGTGTACTGTTGTTGGTTAAAGTGTTCATTTAGTCGTATTTCAGTTACGTTGATAAAGGAAAGCTTTTCATCTTTTGCTTCTAGTAATGCATATATATTGGAAATAATTTACACATTTAGCACTTTCATACTAAATATTAAAGTGCTATGAAGTTTTTCTGCTTAAAATAATAGAATTAAAATTAAATACTCGGCAGTATACCTTGAGGGCTGACGCAATTCTCTGCGGGGTCAGGTCAGCTCTCTGATGTTCTATTACGTCTCGTTATTAAACTAAAAGGAGGAGATAAAATCTAATACTATATAGATACATAGTTAATAATATTAACTTAATTAGAATTTAGCGACCACTTCTAAATTATTAACCCTCGCACTGACTAAGAGTTCGGAAAGTGGGAGGGGGGGAGGGTTTGGATATTTCCATATCCATTATGGATATCAACACGGCCCACGTTGGTGACATAACATTTTGACGTTGTCAAAATCCTTGCATTAGTTGCCTGAAGGTCCAATAGCCTCGTTTGAGGTAACTACACTGTTTGTCTCACATTTAATATCATTAAGGCAATTTCTTGTGTATACAAGGTATTTGGAGTGATCGTGGTCACCTGTAGGACATCACCATAATCAAGTGAAAATAATTACTTCAAATTGAAGTTAAAAAGTGATGAAACACGGATTCTTTAATTACATAAATTGTGAATTTTCCCACTCTAATAATTCGATTGTCGGCAGGAAAGGAAGCATCAACATTGGCGCCCTCTTGTCTGACTCGTATATTCCCCATGAAGCTGTTTATCATCCATGGACGATGTTAGTTGAAGCTTACTCTGGTCTATGGACTTTCTTAGGTAAGAATTTTGTTTATTGCTAACTCTAATTCTCAGTGCAGTAAATAAAATAAATTCATTAATCTGAAATGAACCTTGAGTAACAGAACTAATGCTTTAAATCAAATAATAAATACGGCACCATCTGAATTCAAATAATTAATAAGTAACACTCCACTGTGGTAACTGTGTAGAGTAACCTTTTATTGTACAGTCCGCTAGAAATTAAAATTAAATAGTTAAGTTATCCACATCCTAGCATATAAAGCGCCTCATATAAAGATGACCAATAGTGGGTCAGGTTACAGTCAGAAGAGTTCCACATTACTTTTATTGATTTTTCTAAATAAGATTTTTACTGGTTAATTTGTAGGAGTTAGGGTAGGAAAACAGGTAGTTTACAATGGTTCAAAGATGATAAATATATTCATATTTAAATTTTAAGACCAAATTCGTTTTATTTCTTTTATAGTAATTTGCTATTCAAGCCTTTATTTTGAATGCATTATTTTGGTATGAATGTCGAAGTGGAAAGTTACACAAAACTAGAATTTACGTTTTTCCAGTATAAAGAGCTGTTTTGGGGAGATGTATACAATGTTTTGTACTATTATACCCCCCTTCCTTTCTGGCTCGTTGTCGCCGTGAGAAGGCTTGGTGGGCGGCTGCCAGTGTGTGATGCTTCACGAGTCAAGTCCTCTCTCCTTTTGATGCCATATACTCCTGCTGCTGCCTTCACCAATTGTGCCTGAAATCTTTTCCTTGTTTCATTTTCCTCCTTCTCCCCCCCCCCCTCTTCTCCTTTCTAATTGTCGTTTCTTCTGTTTTGACGCCAGTGTGTTTGGGAAGGCATACTCTTACCCGTAGAACCCAACGTCTCAAGTGAGGGGACCCTTTTATTGTTAATCCTCATTTCGTTGCTGAACCTGATTTTGACGGACTGATGGTTTTTAAGGTGGCGTTTGTGGGGCGTATTCTCACGACGCACCCCTAGAGGGCCCCGGCATGATCGGCAACATCTCTTGTTGGGTGTCCTGCCTCTAATTGTGGCTCCATGGTGGGTACGGGTGCACATTCGTGAATGAAAGTATAACCTCTCGTTTTCATTTTGCTGAATAATGTTCCTCTGATTTCTCAGGCTCGTGGGGTAGACGACCAAGCCTACGAGTCGGACTGTGTTGGAAGACCGGGCTCTGTTGGCCCTCCCCCCCCCCCCCTTTACATTGGGTCCAGACCTAGCTCCTCCTTTGATCCTCCTGACTACTCCCCTCGGCTCCCCTCCCTCCTCTGTGGTTGGGTCGAGCCATACGCCCACAACGGCGACCACCTCGTCCCCTGGCGTGGCTCTCACTCCTTGTGACTAGTACACCTTTTAACCCCTCTCTGGGGGTTCTCAACGCCGTCCCCGCCATGGCCGTACTCGATCCCTTCCCATACTAATAAGTACCAAGCCTTGTTTGGTCCTGGTTCGTGGGCTAAATAATTAGAACTACTCTCTCTGGATTCTACACTTGACGATTTCTCACTCCTTAAACACCTTATCGATTCGATGGATGCCTGTTACTTTAAATTCCACCCGTTTAGCTACACATGTCGTCGCTGCTCCTTCACCGGATGCAGCTACCCGCTTAGCCGCATTGTACTGCATTGTGGAGACCCCTGTTCAGATCTCTGAAAACGCTCGATTAAATGCCAATGTTGGCACTGTTCTCCTCCTGCACCATGTTGCAACTGGTGTTAGGAACCTAAAAGACTGCCATGAGGATATTAAACATATCCCCGAAGCCCAAGGCCATCCTGTCCTCAAGGTAGACACGTTCACTCGACCCCCTCGTGGTCGTCGCCGTCAGCCCCTTCGAGTTGTGAAAATCATCTTTGAAAGTAGGACTCTTCCGCCCTCTAAAATTCTTGCTGGTGCCAGATGCTTCGTTCAGGAGTACATTCCCTCTCCTAGACTTTGCAATAAGTGCTGGAAGTTCGGGCATGGTGTCCTCAAATGCTTAAGTACTGTGTATGTCCCATGTGTGGGGCCGATGATCACTCTAAAGTCCAAGTGCACTTCTCCCCAGGCTTGCTGTCTCAATTGCGGTGAGGCCCACCCTACCTTCTCTGTTCGTGTATACACTACAAACTTCAGGAAGTCGTCCTCAACTTGAAACACTGGGATCGTCTGCCTTTTCCTGAAGCAAGATGCCAAGTTCGCCGTCTCGCCCCTTTTGCTGTCGTATCCTATGCTCGTGTGTTGCGTTCTACCTCGCCCCATCCTTCCCACCATACTGTCTCACAAGTTTCTAAATCTTAGACCCGAAAACGCACACCACCACCACCCCTTGTTCCTTTACGTTCTGTCCTGAAGGGACCCCCTCCTGGTTCTCCATCTGAAGTTCCCCCTTCCTACCCAGTCTGCCATGTCACCTGTGTCTTCTTTCCCCAATCCTTCTTCCTATCTTTCCCTGTCTCTTGGCCCTCCACGCCGCCTGTTTGTCCAGGCTGATGTCCATCATCCTAATAGCAATCTTCATGTTGTTCACTCCCGTTCATCATCTCTTGAGACAATTGAGTCTGTCGCCCAGTACGTTGTTGCTTGAACACCTGTCTCTTTGAGTCGGAAACGTAAGCCTGGTTCCTCTCCTTCGTCCTCCCGGCAGGTACGAAGGCTTCGCTTTCTTCCTCACCCGCCACCTCTGACACACTTGCTGCGTCCCCTTCCATTTCGGTGGTCGGGGCCCCTGTCCCAGCTATGGAGGTTTCTTTAGCCCCCGTTTCCTTCTCCGTTGCTGCCCTTGCTGAGGTGCACTTGCCAGTTTCTGCCCCCCCCCCCCCCCCACCTGCTGTCCTTGACCTCCACTCTGTTGCCTCCTCCTCCTCCAGACCCTACCCGTCAGCCTCTGGTCTGTCCACCTTCTCCCTTCACTCCATCCTTACTCAGTTTACCCATGCCCCCTAAGCCTGATTTTACTAACCCTGATCCTGAGCTTATTGAATATACTGTGTTCTTCTTTAACTTTGTTTCTTTATTGTTCTCTGTTGCTGTCCTTTCTCTTTTTGATAATGACTCTTCTTCAATGGAATATTCGTGGATTTTATGCCAACTTCCATGAACTCAAACTTCTGATTACACAGTTTTCACCACGTTGTGTTTGTCTCCAGGAATCAAAGCTTTTTGCTCGTCCCGGACTCTTTCGGGGTTATTCCCCTTTTATTTTTCCTCCACCCCCCCCCCCCCTCCCCTTTTCCAGCTTACTTTACTTCTCTCTTGAGTCGTACTGATATTCCCTTCGTCCCCATACTGTTTCCATCTCCTATTCATTGTTCTGCTGCCCGTGTTTTTGTGAGTAAATAGTATGCAGTCTGTTCCATTTACCTCCCCCCAAATGTCCCGCTTTCCCTTCCTGATCATAAGCACCTCCTGGACTCTTGCCAGTGCTCCTGTTGGGTGATTTCAACTGTCGACATACCCTCTGGGGTGATGTTCTAACAAACATCTGAGGCCGCCTTCTCGAACTGTTCGTCCTCTATTCTTCCCCGTCTCTTCTGAATTCTGGTGAGCCCACCCATGTGGACTCTTGAACTTGCACCCTTTCCTGTCTTGATCTATCTGCTCGTCGTCCTTTTGCTTAGATCTCACGTGAAGGGTTCTTGATGACCTCCATAAGTGACCATTTCCACATCCTTATTTCCTTTTTCTCTTTTCACCTTCCCCTCTCCTTCCCTAGGTGGCAGTTTGCCAAAGCTGACTGGAACCTATTCACTCTGTGCTACTCTCACTGATCTCTCCTCTCTGCCTCTTCCTCGAGCCCTCCTCCTTTTTCATGACACCATCTTAGATGCTACCCTCTGCTCTATTCCTCGCTCTACCTCCCGGGGCATACAGAAGTGCATTCCCTGGTAGAATGCAGACTGTCTTCGGGCTGTCCGCTGTAAGCGTGCAGCCTGGAAGAAACACCGACGTCGTCAGACGTCCGATTCTTTTTTGTTTCGGAAAGCAAGTGCGGTGGCCTGTAAGACCATTCATACAGCTAAGCGTGAGAGTTGGAAATCTTAAGTTTCCACCATTACGTCAGATATTCCTCTACCGCAGATCTGGAAGAAGATCCGCAAGATTGCGGGCAAGTTCGTTCCAGTTATCTCGCCAGTTCTCCACCTCCGTGGTACTCTTGTGGCGGACCCAGTGCAGGTCGCAACCAAACTGGGTTTCCACTTTTCTAATGTTAGCTCTGGTTCTCATCTTACTCAATCCTTCCTTCCTTCGTAAGCCCGTTCTTGAATCTCATCCCTTAGATTTCTGCTCTCGTCTCCGCCTTCCCTATAACGATTCCTTATCTCTCTCTCTCTCGACTTCAGTCTGCCCTGGCCCTTTGCGGTTCTATGGCAGCGGGCTCGGATGACATTCATTATGAGATGCTTCGCCATCTCCCTCCTTGCACGTCTCGGTAGTTACTGAGTCTGTATAAACAGGTCTGGGAGTCGTTGTCGGTCCCCGAGGACTGGCTCGATGTCGCTGTACTATCTATTCAGAAACCGGGGTCTCTCGGGACATCCCCTAAGGACTTGGAGAACTTGGGGGTCAATATTCATACTGCTTTTACTGCGAAGACCTCCGTTGTTGTTGTTGTCCTTTATGACCTGGAAAAGGCTTATGACATAACCTGGAGATACCATATTCTGTCCCAATTTCGTTCTTTTGGCCTTCGTAGTAATCTCCCTCTTTTTCCAAAGCTTCCTCTCGCATCATTCTTTAAGTGAAGCTTGGTACCACTCTGCCTCTCTTCGGCAATACGAGTGTACCCAAAGGTAGTGTTCTGATCACTATTTTTCTGGTTGCCCTCAATGGTCTTCTTTCCTCCCTTCCTTCTGGCATCTTCTCCGCTCTTTGTCGACTATCTTACTCTTTGCTGTCGAGGTGGTGATTCTCCTCTCCTTCAATGGCAACTTCAACTTGCGATTGATGTCGTGTCGTCTTGGACCACCAATCATGGCTTAAAGTTCTCTGCAATTAAGACTTGTGCTATGACTTAAGAGAGCATGTCGTCCTTCTTTGTCACTTCATGGTCATCCCCTTGTGTACAAAGATTCTGCGAAGCTTTTGGGGTTAATCTTTGACACTCGTTTGTCTTGGTCGCCCCATATCTCTTACCTCCGAGTTGAATGCTCCAGGGCTCTTAACCTACTTAAGGTTTTGTCCCATACTTCTTGGGGAGCGGATAGGCACACGCTCCTCTATTTGCACTCCTCTCTCTCGTCCTGTCTAAACTCGAATATGGTGTCCCTGCATACTCTTCTGCTTCTCCTTCTACTCTTCACTGTCTTGATCCTTTGCACCATACTGGGTTGCGCCTCAGCTCTGGTGCCTTTCGTTCAACTCCTACCCTCAGCTTGTATGTTGACACTGGCTTCCTCTCTCTCCAGGATCGCCGTGATCGCTACTGTCTTCGTTATCTTGCATGGTCCTTTCAGTATACTCACTCTCGCCTCTGTCGTGCTTTGATTTTTACCCATCCTGTAGTTCCTGTTCCTCTTCACCACCTTCCTCTTTCTGTCCATTTGTCTCGCTTACAAGATTCTCTTTTGATTCGTATTACCAATGTTTCTCCTCGTATTGTCCCGTCCTTGCCCCTGTGGAGGTCCCCCTTCCCAAATTTTGTACTTCCCTGACCCTCATCACTAAAGCTTTTACCCCTCCTATAGTTTTGAAACGTCTTTTCCTTAAGCACTTTTCTTCATACTCACTCCGTTTCCATCTTCACCGATGGCTCTAAGTCTTTTGACGGTGTAGGCTACTGTTGTTTATCCTGACCACTCTTGTGTGTGTCGCCTTCCTCCGGAGGCTAGCATCTTCACAGCAGAACTTTATGCTATTCTCTATGCTCTTCGTCTCCTGCTTTCTCGTTGTCAATCCTCCTTTGGGGTGGTAGTTGACTCTCGTAGTGCCCTCATGGCTTTAGAGTCCTTTAATCTGGTCCACCCGGTGGTCATAGATTCAACATTGGCTGTTTATCCCCAGTAAATTTAAGTCGGTAGAGTTTTGCTGGGTTCCCAGCCATGTTGGGGTGTCATTAAATGAGCACGTATGCTGCCACTATGGAAGCTATCCGCACTTGCCCCATCTCCCATAAAGATATTCCTTATTCCAGCTTTTACCCAGTTATTCATTCCACCAACCTTGCCTGTTGGCAAGGTTGTTGGTCTTCCGTTACTGGTAACAAACTGCATACTCTTAAAAAGTCATGTCTCTGTGGCCTTCCTTCCTACCACCGTAACCGGCAGTGGGAAACGGCTCTAGCTAGGTTATGTATTGGTCATACATGTTAAAATCACGGTCACTTAATGGAGCACCGCCCTGCTCTTTATTGTCCATATTGCATTGTTCCTCTTACGGTCGTGCACATTCTTGTTGAATGTCCTGACTTCCAGGACGAGCGTGTATCTTGCTTTCCGACCGTCCCTCGCGGTCAATTGTCCATCCATAGAATTCTTGTGAATCGGTTACTTTTGATATCGTTCGCCTTGTGCGTTTCTGTTCTCGTATTGGCATCCTGGGTGATATTTAGCGCCCTCTGATTACTCCGCACGTTTGGTGGTGCTACATAGCCTTCTCGGTTTGGTGCCTTCTTTTGATACTTACTTGTACTATTATATTCCAGAATAATTGGCATATATTTGTTTTAGCAGGCTGTATTCAGTATATATGACTTACTGGATGTGGTTTATTATTTGAGTTCTTTTAAAATTACTTATTTAAATATATTCTAATTGAATATAAAGTTGCAAGAGAGGTTGTTAAAATTTCTTTGGTATATATATTGACAGGTCTAGTCTGATGACGTACTATGTTACTTTTAGCTCTGGTATGATGTTAGATTATATTAATTATAATTTCTAAAATAAATAAAATACTGTATTGATATGTTTGGATGTATTTATTTTAGATATTTTTATATTGAAGTAAATTTTTTTTTTTTTTTTTTTTTTTACTTCAGTTTCTTCTTAGATTATTTGTTCACTATCCCCAGCTTGTAATTACGAGTGTACTAAACATACCGATGGCTCCAAATTTGATAGTGATCATTGGAACTTAAAGATAAACTACATGAAATAATAAAACTTTAAAATGAATATGTACTACTGAAGGTACTGACTAGTGTTATGGCAAGCAGGATGTGTTAATTGGCACACAGTTAAGTTCAAAATTGTGATTAATCTTTTGTGTTAAACCATTGCAGAAGGAAACGAGGCCGACGACAGTTGTTTGGCCCAGGACTGCACGCTTGGTGGCGGGAAATGAGAGCCAATCAGTCGCCGACCGGGACAAGAGCACGAATAAATGTGGACAGTCTGTGCTCAGTCCAGCGACAGAAACAGTGCTCGGCTCGCTGTGCACAGACAAGTGCTTCGCTCAGTCCAGGGACATAAACATAAATACGATCACCACAGCAAGCTGTGTATTAGTTCGGCGTTTGGAAGAGTCGTCTGAGGGAGACGCGTGGAATTTGTCGACCTTGGATGGGAAGACGACTTAAAATTCATTACGTGGGCAACAGCGGTGGATGCTGCAGAAATAGTGATTCGGTCTCTATTGGTGCGATATGATACTGACTGGTGACGGCAGTGGATTGACATCTGCAAATATACATAAAACTAAATATATATATATAATTTTTGTTAAAGAATATAGTTGAGGTAGTTTGTCTTGGTAATCATTTCCCCCGAAGATTTGAGGAAATTTATAAAGTGAATTAATGTATAATGACTTGTAGTAAATATATAACTTTGGAAATAGAACATTTTCTGTATTTAACTGACATTGTAATTATAAGGTGTGAAGGATAGATGAAATTGTTAATGTAATGTCCATTGAGGTTTGTTGAAGACCTGTTGTGCCTTCTGTGATCCTTTTTGCGCTACCGCTCACAGGATGAGCATGGGGTGCACAATAAACTAGCGTCCCCCGGCGGCAACAGTGCTGCCCATCCTGACTGTGTTTACCTGACGAGAACTGTTCCTGACCAGTACACACGAGACCTCGTAGGTTTTAAGTAGTATAATTAACATGTAGACAAATGTTGGAGATTTACCACAACAAGTGGTTATATACCAATAAAAGTAAATATTCTTACAAACTTTTGAATTTGGGGAATGAAAGTCACATACAATCTATGGGCTCCAGAAATTTTGCCCAACATTCCAGTGTATAAACTAGTCACTGTTTAAACGTACCTATTATGTTTAATAGGCACTTTACGTTTAATACATAGGTAGTACCTTCATGAACTATTTTTTCCTCAACATTAGCCATTTCGATAAAACCATCAGAACATCTCAAACACATTTATTCTTCATATCCTGTAGATATTCTTCATATAATGAACTACTGTTTCCCCGACCTCGCTACTAATAGGCATGGTAAGGGATAGTTCCAAGAGTTTTAAAGTATTTTTTTTTTGTTGCAGGTTGCGGCATTGAGGAAATAGCTGGCGATTTGTTGATTCGTCATCATTCATGAAGTGACGTAAGAAGTCAATCGGCGATGAAGATGGTCCAATTTTTCTTGGCAGAAATTGTTCAATGTGAAAGAAATTTAGATAGCTAATCTTAATTAGTTGAATGGTACTTGTAAATAAATCTTGTATGAGGATCAACATCTTGCTACTAATAAAGTAAATACGTGGTACATGTATTGAAGGTATTAGATGTATTGTCTAAAATCAGAGTTAGCTTTTTCACTTTACGTACATGTAAAAAGTATTTATTTTGCCCTATATTAAGTTTCTTGCCATGATGACTTTTGATAATACTTTATTTACCCTGCAATGGTCAATATTGAAATGTCTCAAGTGTTAAATTACTAAAATGTGTGATGTTTTAAGTATGGTAGGCACAGTGTAAACAGTGGTTGTTACCAGTAATTATAATTCAATTCTGGGGCCCCTCTAATATTTGAGAGGGCTCCTTGGTGCTGCGTATTGGAAAGCGCTCGTATTAGCATTCTTGGTGATATTTAGCGCCCTTTGATTATCCCGCACATTTGATGGTGCTACATAGCCTTCCCGGTTTAGTGCCTTCTTTTGATAATTGCCTTACCTTCAGGTAGTACATTGACCTACATACAAGTAGGCAACATATACTAACCCGTTCTCGCAAATTTAATAAGTCAATATTGACTTATTAGTTGCGTGCATAGGTGACATACTAAACATAATAGTTTCCCTTGAAAAGCTTCATAGAAAACACCGACCTTACCTAACCTACTTAGTATGGTAAAATAAGCATCTTATAGCTTCATAATTACAATTGTTACTTAACCTATTATAGGTATAGGTTAGGTAATAATTGGAATTACGAAGCGATAAGATGCTTATCTAAACCTACTAAGTAGGTTAGGTAAGATCGGTGTTTTCTATGAAGCTTTTCAAGGGAAACTATTATGTTAAGTATGTCACCTATGCACATATTTAATAAGTCAATATTGACTTATTAAATTTGTGAGAACGGGTTGCATATACCTACCTACATTAATAGTAGGTACAATAGAAAAGTTACCTGCTATTGGTGGCAACACTTAGCTTGCAATGCCACGTGTTGTATCGCCTAGCTTGTAACTGGAGCTAAGTTTCAGGTCTGTGTATCCGTCCTATTTTTCCCCTGTTACCTTGACCCTCCCCCTTGTTGCCCCATGAATCTTCCCATTGGGATAATAAAGAGGTACACGAACAAATTTGTATTGAAATCCAACAAATAGAGTTTTCGTAGGGACGAGTAACAAAGTATCTATTTGAATAGGCAGAAATGACCTATTGCAAATTTGCACATTTTCCTATTTAAATAACAGCCCAACAAATGTGGCAGAATTTTCAAAACAGAAACGTACCTATTTGAATAGGTAGGTCCTACCTATTCAAATAGGTCCGACCTATTCAAATAGGGCGGACCTATTTGAATAGGTAGATTTGGTATATGGGCAAATTTGCAACAACAGTCCAACAAATGTGTATGAATTTTCAAAACAGAAAAAGTACCTATTTGAATAGGTCGGACCTATTTGAATAGGTAGATTTGGTGTATGAGCAAATTTGCAACAGTCAAACAAATGTGGAAGAATTTTCAAAACAAACAGTACCTATTTGAATAGGTCGGACCTATTTGAATAAGTAGATTTGGTGTATGAGCAAATTTGCAACAGTCCAACAAATGTGGAAGTATTTTCAAAAAAGAAAAAGTACCTATTTGAATAGGTAGGACCTATTTGAATAGGTCGGACCTATTTGAATAGGTAGGACCTATTTGAATAGGTAGATTTGGTGTATAAGCAAATTTGCAGCAGTCCAACAAATGTGGAAGTATTTTCAAAACAGAAAAAGGACCTATTTGAATAGGTAGGACCTATTTGAATAGGTAGATTTGGTATATGGGCAAATTTGCAACAACAGTCCAACAAATGTGTAAGAATTTTCAAAACAGAAAAAGTACCTATTTGAATAGGTAGGACCTATTCAAATAGGTAGGACCTATTTGAATAGGTAGGACCTATTTGAATAGGTAGATTTGGTGTATAAGCAAATCTGCAACTCCAACAAATGTGGAAGAATTTTCAAAACAGAAAAAGTACCTATTTGAATAGGTAGGACCTATTTGAATAGGTAGGACCTATTTGAATAGGTAGGACCTATTTGAATAGGTAGGACCTATTTGAATAGGTAGGACCTATTTGAATAGGTAGATTTGGTGTATGAGCAAATTTGCAACAGTCCAACAAATGTGGAAGTATTTTCAAAACAGAAAAAGTACCTATTTGAATAGGTAGGACCTATTTGAATAGGTAGGACCTATTTGAATAGGTAGATTTGGTGTATAAGCAAATTTGCAAGTCCAACAAATGTGGAAGTATTTTCAAAACAGAAAAAGTACCTATTTGAATAGGTCGGACCTATTTGAATAGGTAGGACCTATTTGAATAGGTAGGACCTATTTGAATAGGTAGATTTGGTGTATAAGCAAATTTGCAACAGTCCAACAAATGTGGAAGAATTTTCAAAACAGAAAAAGTACCTATTTGAATAGGTCGGACCTATTTGAATAGGTAGGACCTATTTGAATAGGTAGATTTGGTGTATGAGCAAATTTGCAACAGTCCAACAAATGTGGAAGAATTTTCAAAACAGAAAAAGTACCTATTTGAATAGGTAGGACCTATTTGAATAGGTAGGACCTATTTGAATAGGTAGGACCTATTTGAATAGGTAGGACCTATTTGAATAGGTAGGACCTATTTGAATAGGTAGGACCTATTTGAATAGGTAGATTTGGTGTATAAGCAAATCTGCAACTCCAACAAATGTGGAAGAATTTTCAAAACAGAAAAAGTACCTATTTGAATAGGTCGGACCTATTTGAATAGGTCGGACCTATTTGAATAGGTAGGACCTATTTGAATAGGTAGGACCTATTTGAATAGGTAGATTTGGTGTATGAGCAAATTTGCAACAGTCCAACAAATGTGGAAGTATTTTCAAAACAGAAAAAGTACCTATTTGAATAGGTAGGACCTATTTGAATAGGTAGGACCTATTTGAATAGGTAGGACCTATTTGAATAGGTAGATTTGGTGTATAAGCAAATTTGCAAGTCCAACAAATGTGGAAGTATTTTCAAAACAGAAAAAGTACCTACTTGAATAGGTCGGACCTATTTGAATAGGTAGGACCTACTTGAATAGGTAGGACCTATTTGAATAGGTAGATTTGGTGTATAAGCAAATTTGCAAGTCCATCAAATGTGGAAGAATTTTCAATACAGAAAAAGTACCTATTTGAATAGGTCGGTCCTATTTGAATAGGTAGGACCTATTTGAATAGGCAGGACCTATTTGAATAGGTAGATTTGGTGTATGAGCAAATTTGCAACAGTCCAACAAATGTGGAAGAATTTTCAAAACAGAAAAAGTACCTATTTGAATAGGTCGGACCTATTTGAATAGGTAAGACCTATTTGAATTGGTAGATTTGGTGTATGAGCAAATTTGCAGCAACAGTCCAACAAGTGTAAGAATTTTCAAAATAGAAAAAGTGCCTATTTGAATAGGTCGGACCTATTTGAATAGGTCGGACCTTTTTGAATAGGTAGGACCTATTTGAATAGGTAGATTTGGTGTATGAGCAAATTTGCAACAGTCCAACAAATGTGGAAGAATTTTCAAAACAGAAAAAATGCCTATTTGAATAGGTAGGACCTATTTGAATAGGTAGGACCTATTTGAATAGGTAGGACCTATTTGAATTGGTAGATTTGGTATATGAGCAAATTTACAACAGTCCAACAAATGTGTAAGAATTTTCGAAAAAAAAAATTGCCTATTTGAATAGGTAGGACCTATTTGAATAGGTAGGACCTATTTGAATAGGTAGATTTGGTGTATGGGCAAATTTGCAATAAGTTCATATAATGTGGAAGAATCTTCAAAATAGAAAAAGTACCTATTTGAATAGGTAGAAATGACCTATTTGAATAAGTGTATGTGCAATTTTGCAATAACAGCCCAACAAATGTGGAATTTTCGAAATAAAAATTTCCTATATGAACAGGCAGGACCTATTTAAATAGGTAGATTAGGTATATGGACAAATTTGCAATAACAGCCCAACGTGAAAGAATTTTCATAATATAAGAATTACCTATTTGAATTGGTAGGCCTTATTTGAATAGGTAGAATAGGTATAGGTGCAAATTTGCAAAACCAATCCAATAAATGTTGAAGATTATTTATGTAGGAATATTATACCTATTCATATATGTACATATAAAAATATGTACATAGGTATTCAACCTATTTCATTTGGTGTTTTTACATATGCAAACTAGTTACCGTCTATATCTGTGGGAAACTATAATTATCTATAACTAATTTGTACATATGCCTATTACATATAAAGTAATTTCTACATATTCAAATAGGTACTTTCACTGTTTTGAAAATTGTCTTCCACATTTATTGTACTATTATTGCGTATTTGTACATTCTTAAATAGGTACTACCTATGAAATAGGCATACCTTTTATAGGTATACTTTTTATATACGTATAATATCTACCTATAATATATATTATAGGCAGATAATATTTTATTATTAACTACCTAAATAAGTAGAATGTTCTACCTATTATAAGTTGACTAGGTACATGCAAAAAAATAATTAAATTCCAAAAAATGTAAAAGACAGTATCTAATTTTTTTTAAGAATTTGTAGAAAGCTAAATATATGAAGACACAAAAGACACATGTCAGTAACTAGTGTATAATAAGATTAGGTAAAAAGATACCTAATCGAATAGGTTGAAAATGACCCATTTGAATAGGTAAAAGTATACTTATCTGAATATATAGAATAGTACCTAATTTTTAATAAGTAGAAAAGGTGCATGTAGAGGACTGTAACAAGTTTATTCTAATAGGTAGAAAAGTACACCCGGATAAAAAGGTACCTATCTGGATACAAAGGTACCTATCTAAATATAAAGGTACCTATTTCAATAGGTAGGAAGGTAAGGGGAAAGCACCAAACCATTACGACTGCTTAGCACTGGAATTTAGGGTAGGAATGTTGGGGGGGGGGGGGAGAAGGAATGGTGCCCAACCACTTGGACGGTCGGAGATTGAACGCCGACCTGCACTGCATGAAGCAAGATCGTCGCTCTACCGTCCAGCCCAAGTGGTTGAACGTGAATAGGTAGGAAAGCACCTATTCGAAAGGGTCTATAATGCCTCAAAGTGTTTTAGAGAACCTGGCACTGTTGGCAACTATTCCAGTGCCTATATAATGGATCTTCCTCCCAACAGAAAAAAAATCTTGCACTCTCACCATTGCTATCACTCCACTAATTTTGTGGTGGAGGTATTAGTACCACTTGGAGTGATTCAAGTGCCACTTTGAGAGTCATCTTGGTAGGCAAGATGACTCCCCTTGTTACCTGTAGAGGTACACCCATCAGTCCACCTGTCATGTACCATGTCTGTCAACATTGATGGTAAAGTTTATGTTTAACAAGAGGTTAAACAAGAGGTCACGTGTGTGTACGTGACCTCTTCTACACAATTGGTTTCTTTCCTTCTTAAACAGTATTCAACTTTAGAGACAGTCAGGGTTTTCACTCTCGCTATATCTCCAGACTCAAGAGGTAAGAAACTTTGAAGTTGGAAAATAGAACATTTAATGAACGCGATTACACAATCACGGCCAGCAAAGCTTTTATCCCAAGCCTAAATTGCATCATCTTTACATACTATGCCTGAGCTGCCTTGAACACGATAATCATATTCGAATCATATCCATCAATTATATAATACCTTGCACCAAATACACCTGTCTCCTCTGGTATGGAAATAAACCCTTAATTATACATGTACGTGTGTGGTATATTAATAAATTATATATATTATATATATATATATATTACATAAATATATACATACATATATATATTTCTATTTATATATATGTTATATATATACACACACACACAGGCTCATTAGCTCTGGTACTTAACAGTTCAATCATCATATATGTACATGTGAACATTATAAAGACATGTGAGGGAGAATTCTACAGTATTTCAATAATGGCATCAATAAATTAAAATGGTCCAATCACCTGGTCCAATCACAAATATACAAACATATGCGTATCACTCAGATTACAAGTAACACCTTGTTGGGCCCCTGCACTAGGCTGTCCCAATATTTTACTCTGGTACATTTGGTAACAATCGCCTCTTCGTGGATAAGGCTGGATAATCCTATATTTAACAGTATGAATCAAGTGAACACTATATAAAGTCATCTCTTGTTGCATTATTCACACCAACTTTGACACGATGTACAAGGCTTTGAGAAATGCAAATTTATTATATATAGAATCTTCTAGAGATTCTTGTCAAATTAGACATTTGAACTAAAATATTATACAATATTATACAATATCATACAATTATCTTATTATGCAAAGCGCCTCTGGTACACATCTGGAAGACCAGTATATTAGCTATTAATACGGGACATCATTAATGGCATCTGTGTAGGGAGGCGGAGCATCTCTGGCGATCTGACTTGGATAAGAGGGATTAAAGTTCTCTTCTAAGTCTCCAGACGGCCCCATGTAGCCGGCAAGAGGCGTCACTGAATAGCCATGGATTGGCTCCACAGGTGACATGGAATAGCTTAGAGAAGGTCCCCCATGTGGCGCAGAATACCTTACGATTGGTCCACGTGGCACCGAGAAGCCAGAAGTTGGCCCACCAGGTGGCAAGGAGAAGCCTCCGGAATGCACGGGGTAGCTTAAATTAAGTTCTTCAGGCTGCAACGAGTAACTAGTGTTTGGTCCTCCAACTGGTATTGAATAGTTTGAGGTCAGTCCTCCAACTGGGGCTGCGAAATCATTAGTCATTCCTCCATTTAACATCGAATAGCTTGGAGTCTTTTCTTCAAGCGAAAAAGAATTCCTTGGAGTCATTCCTCCTTGCGATCCTGAATAGCTACCACTGTGTACTTCAGACGGATGCAGGTAGCTAGCAGAATATCCTTCATGTCTTATGTGGAAGCTTCCAGTCGTTTTCAATGGCAGTTCTCCAGACTGTTCTTGGTAAGTAGGGCTGCCGTCTCCAGCAAGTACTGGAAAGTCAATACTCTTACTTTCTGGCGGTGAGTAGCAAGTACTGGATTCAGTCTCACTAGGGGAGGGAAGGGCGACTCCACTGCAAGAGCTGAGGCGATCTGGTTGGTCAGAGTTCAATGTGTTGTAGTCCTGGCGAGGAACATCACACAGCCGACAGAAGAACATGATCATGACAGCTGTACAAGAGGTAAATATATTTGAATTTTAATGAAAGGGACAACTTTCTTTAATTTGTTCCCCCCATCAATTATTTTGATCTAGGACAGAATTTTTGGGTAACCGAGTTAAAAGTTATGGTTTGTCCTGTAAATAAAATCAACATATCAAAGTGGCCCAGTTCAAATATTTATGCCTATGCTCTGATATGAGGAAATTAATATTTAGACATTTATACGGAATTAAAAAAAATATATTTAAATCAATTTAATCAAATTAAAACATTTAAATAAAATTAACATTGTCACCAACATTTTTCAAGGCATGAAAAAAAATTGGGTCGAAAGATATTACGAGACATTTCACATCTAATTTTACCCCTTGACCATCCAAATATTAAACTAATGGCTATTAAACTAAAATTATAATTTACTGTTGTGTTTCAGGCAACATTTCAAGAGAAGGTTTGCAAAATAGATTTTACAATGTCTTACGGGAACAGTCAGAAAGCATAAATAACACTTCAAACATTACCTCCTGCAGCAGCAAAGATGAGGCCAACAGCGAGCATATCGCTGCCCACCGCGCACAAAATGATGCCCAGACATAGAGCCAGTGAACCGAACGCCCCAAGACACACCACGGGATAGGACGCACACTTGCACCTGCTGTCCTGATAATGTAGGGAGAAAATCACACTTTACAGTACCAAAACGAATCCCAAACATAGGTGGAAGGGTAAGCAGTTATGTCAACATGTGGGATCAGATTGAAAATGAGTAAACTTTTCACAAGTTTTCAGTCATTTAAATTTGTTTTAAAGGGAATAAATGCTTGATGGACACATGTACCAGTGAAGACGTTAGTATCTTACAATATATGCCAATCATAACAGATATCACTGTGCTATACGAACTATACGCACTGTAACCCGTAAATTCAGAACACGATTACATAATACAAGTTACGTTAAGTGTTCATGAATTTTAAAACACATTCTGGGCTCTAAGCTATCTTTGCCACAGGGTAAGTGCTTGTTGTACATTTCCAAACAAAAGTCATATATTCACTTAATTAAATGATTATTTTGAGTATTATAGTCAAGGAATTATGTATTACCTTAATTAAACTCCATAAAATTCCCCCCTCCTTCCAGATACCAGTTTGTTGGGTTCCATTGGATTTTGAAGCCGTAACAACTTGGGGCTGTTGCTGCTGCTCCTGCACGCTCACCACTTCCTCCTGCTGTTTTGCCACTTCAGAAAAAAATAAAAAAATATTAGTTTTATTGATTTTTTCAATAAATTTTCAATTTTTTCAATTTTCAAAGAAAATTTTTTCATTAGCCAAAATATAATTATACATCGAACAAATCTACGTACATGCGTGTGCGTAGGTCGTGTACCTAGTGTGCCAGGGACAATATGTGGCGGGAAAGGTTCCTCGGGGAAATAGTTATCAGAAGCAAGCAATTATCAAAAGGCACCAAATCGGAAGGCTATGTAGCAGTTGTCATCAGAAGATAAGGATGAACATTATAATTCAGTGGGCGGGAAGGATACATACGAGGGAGAAAATTTATTTTGTAATATAATAAGAAAACTGCAGAAGGCCCATTGATCAAGTCATGTGAGCTCCAGGAAGTGAAGATACTAATGATATAGCCATGTATCAGTGATCTGACTCAAATCGGTTTTTTTAGTTGATCAATTAAAAATTAATCCAAATTGTACAGACCATCACAGTTTGGTCTGTTCTTATTGTAATAATATTGTAGTGCAATATTTGGTCTGAAATATTGTTCCTATTTTATGGTTTTGTAATTTGCTTTATAGCAGATTCAATGTTTCTTTGGAAAATTATTCTACAATTTACTAGAGGCCCTCTCCCAATCAGTTTGGTGAGAATTTCATGAATAGAGCATTACATAATTGGTCATTTTTTACTGAATATTTATGCATATAAATTCTAAATTTAAATTCTTTGGATGCTTGCCCTATATAGCATCAACTGCAAACTTTACATACTACAATATTTTGTAAATGACTATCACTAAGGGCAGTTTCACTTATAAACACACACACATTTACATAATGCATACAAGTATTTCAACATGACAAAGGATTTGATCAATGATTCTATCATGAATGTTCACTATACATTTTTACTTCCATCTTTACTTGTGAAGTTAAAAAATCATTCTCCAAGGCTAACCTTACCGTTTCACTTGGCCCCACGCTAAGAGATGCGTTTCATTGAACCTGTCACCATTTTTATAGGAGAAAAAGTGTGTATATATTAGAGATGTTAGCTAGTTGTGCCGAATATATATAATGCAGTACCCGTAGCGCAGTGGTAAAGCATTCACCCGGCGCTTCACGAGCGTTTTAGCCTGGGTTCATTTCCTGGACGGGAAGGATTGACTGGGCGCCATTCCTTAACTGTAGCCTCTGTTCACCCAGCAACGAATGGGTACCTGGTGGTTAAACAATTTGGCGGGTCGTATGCCAAGGAAAATTAGGATTAAGGACCTGCCCGAAACGCTGTGCGTGCTAGTGGCCGTACAATGTAAAAATTATTATTATATATATATATATATATATATATATATATATAATAATAGGGGTGGTAGGAGAGAAAAATATTAAAATATTCAGTGAGAATACACAAGGTCTTCTCGGAACACTATTTTCTTCGAGGATGTGGGCCCTTTTAATTAAACCAGTGGTGGTACCCCTAAATAAATAAATAAAATATTATATATATATATATATATATATATATATATATATATATATATATATATATATATATATATATATATATATATATATATATAAATATATATATAAACAAAATCAAGAATGATGAGGTTAAGTAAGGTGTTCCAAGTTTCATCATTATTTGTTTTCTGTTACAGTTTGACTAGGGAGCCGGTCGGCTGAGCGGACAGCACACTGGACTTGTGATCCTGTAGTCCCGGGTTCGATCTCGGGCGCCAGCGAGAAACGATGGGCAGAGTTTTTCACCCTATGCCCTTGTTACCTAGCAGTAAAATAGGTACCTGGGAGTTAGTCAGCTGTCACGGGCTGCTTCCTGGGGGTGGAGGCCTGGTCAAGGACCGGCCGCGGGGACAAAAAAAAAAAAAAAGACCCCAAATCAACTTAAGATAACGACAGTAAGACCTTGATTACATGGTGAAAAGAAGCGCCAACAAGAATGACGAACGAACTAGTTAACCTCAAAATACTTAATTCTTTCCAGCTATGTAAAAATGATAATTAAATCACAAACAAATATGAAGTAAACAATCGGTTGCCATTTTCTGATGGACAGAATTATATCCGAATTTATTTGTTTCATGATAAGAGTTGGCAATTTAAAACATAACAGTAATTGAAATATTTTTGTATTTTAAAATACTGTAGTCAATTAAAATAATAGCCGATATTATTTACATTATAATTATTTTTTAATTTATATCAATATTAGTATAATTATTTTTATTATTTTTATTAATGATTCTATGCCTCATCAGAATTGTAATGTTAAAAAATAAAATGTAATCATATTAATATGCGATATGTTAAAAAAAATTATATTAAAAGTTTTAAAATTATTTGTGGAATATATAATATAAAAAAATTATTATCCCAAACAAATAACTATGATAAGAATTATATTAAATTATAAAAATTGAGATTTATTTATGACTTCTATATGAACTTGACCATAAACGCTAATATCGACAAAAATCATGTAATGTTAGTAATATAATCATTTTAATTCATTGTGTCGGGGGACAGGAAGCCAGTGTGTATTCATACACGTTTGGCTTTTATCGAGATCCCTCCCCCCCCCCCCATGGCAGATTACGGACACCGCCCAAGATACAACCCCACAACACGCTGACTAACTCCTGGGTACCTGCTCGAGAGGGAGGGAGGGAGGTGAAAAGAAATGAGAAAGGGGAAAGAGGGGAAGAGAGGTAGGGTGGTGAGAGAGCTGGGGAGGGGGAGAGAGGAAGGGGGAAGAGAGGTAGGGCGAAAGAGAGGAAGGGGGGAAAGAGGAAGGGGGGAAAGAGGAAGGGGGGAAAGAGGAAGGGGGGAAAGAGGAAGGGGGGAAAGAGGAAGGGGGGAAAGAGGAAGAGAGATGGAGGGTAGAGGAAGAGAGGAAGAGAGAAAGGTGAGAGGAAAAAAGAAGGGGGAGGAAAAAAAGAAGGGGGAGGAAAAAAGAAGGGGGAGGAAAAAAGAGGGGGGAGGAAAAAAGAGGGGGGAGGAAAAAAGAGGGGGGAGGAAAAAAGAGGGGGGAGGAAAAAAAGAGGGGGGAGGAAAAAAGAGGGAAGAGAGACGATGAGGGGAGGAGGAAGAGATACAATGGGGGGGGAGGAAGAGAGAAGGACGATGGGGGGGGGAAAGGGAAGAGAGAGAGACGATGGGGGGGGGAGGAAGAGAGACGATGGGGGGGGGGAGGAAAGAGAGACGATGGGGGGGGGGAGGAAGAGAGACGATGGGGGGGGGGAAGAGAGACGATGGGGGAGGGGGAAGGAAGAGAGACGATGGGGGGGAAGGAAGAGACGATGGGGGGGAAGGAGGAAGAGAGACGATGGGGGGGGAAGGAAGAGAGACGATGGGGGGGGGAAGGAAGAGAGACGATGGGGGGGGAGGAGGAAGAGAGAGACGATGGGGGGGAGGAGGAAGAGAGACGATGGGGGGGGAAGGAGGAAGAGAGACGATGGGGGGGGGAGGAGGAAGAGAGACGATGGAGGGGGGGAGGAGGAAGAGAGAGACGATGGGGGGGGGGAGGAGGAAGAGAGAGACGATGGGGGGGGGAAGGAAGAGAGAGACGATGGGGGGGGGGAAGGAAGAGAGAGACGATGGGGGGGGGAAGGAAGAGAGAGACGATGGGGGGGGGGAAGGAAGAGAGACGATGGGGGGGGGGAAGGAAGAGAGAGACGATGGGGGGGGGAAGGAAGAGAGACGATGGGGAGGGAAGGAAGAGACGATGAGGGGGAAGGAAGAGAGAGACGATGGGGGGGGGGGAAAGAGAGACGATGGGGGGGGGAAAGGAAGAGAGACGATGGGGGGGGGGGAAGGAAGAGAGAGACGATGGGGGGGGAAGGAAGAGAGAGACGATGGGGGGAGAAGGAAGAGAGAGACGATGGGGGGAGAGGAAGAGAGAGACGATGGGGGGAGAAGGAAGAGAGAGACGATGGGGGGGGGAAGGAAGAGAGACGATGGGGGGGAAGGAAGAGACGATGAGGGGGGGGAGGAGGAAGAGAGACGATGGGGGGGGGAAGGAAGAGAGACGATGGGGGGGGGGAGGAGGAAGAGAGAGACGATGGGGGGGGAGGAGGAGGAAGAGAGAGACGATGGGGGGGAGGAGGAAGAGAGAGACGATGGGGGGGAGGAGGAAGAGAGAGACGATGGGGGGGGGAAGGAGGAAGAGAGACGATGGGGGGGGAGGAGGAAGAGAGACGATGGGGGGGGAGGAGGAAGAGAGACGATGGGGGGGAGGAGGAAGAGAGACGATGGGGGGGGGAGGAGGAAGAGAGAGATGATGGGGGGGAGGAGGAAGAGAGAGACGATGGGGGGGGGAGGAGGAAGAGAGAGACGATGGGGGGGGAGGAGGAGGAGAGAGAGACGATGGGGGGGGGAGGAGGAAGAGAGAGACGATGGGGGGGGGGAGGAGGAAGAGAGAGACGATGGGGGGGGGGAGGAGGAAGAGAGAGACGATGGGGGTGGGGAAGGAAGAGAGACGATGGGATTGGGGAAGGAAGAGAGACGATGGGGGGGGGGGGAAGGAAGAGACAGACGATGGGGGGGGAAGGAAGAGAGAGACGATGGGGGGGGGAAGGAAGAGAGACGATGGGGGGGGAAGGAAGAGAGACGATGGGGGGGGGGAAGGAAGAGACGATGGGGGGGGGGGGAAGGAAGAGAGACGATGGGGGGGAAGGAAGAGAGAGACGATGGGGGGGGGGAGGAAGAGAGAGACGATGGGGGGGGGGGAAGGAAGAGAGAGACGATGGGGGGGGGGGAAGGAAGAGAGACGATGGGGGGGGGGGGAAGGAAGAGAGACGATGGGGGGAGAAGGAAGAGAGAGACGATGGGGGGAGAAGGAAGAGAGAGACGATGGGGGGAGAAGGAAGAGAGAGACGATGGGGGGAGAAGGAAGAGAGAGACGATGGGGGGAGAAGGAAGAGAGAGACGATGGGGGGAGAAGGAAGAGAGAGACGATGGGGGGAGAAGGAAGAGAG